CCGAGGCAGGTGGATCACTAGGTCAAGAGATCGAGACCATCCTGGCCAACATGGTGAAACCCCATCCCGACTAAAAAATACAAAAATTAGCTGGGTGTGGTGGCGTGTGCCTGTAGTCCCAACAACTCGGGAGGCTGAGGCAGGAGAACTGCTTGAACCCAGGAGGCAGAGATTGCAGTGAGCTGAGATTGCGCCACTGCACTCCAGCCTGGCGTGTCCTTTACAGCAACAAGATGGAGCTGGAGGTCATTATTCTAAGTGAACACAGGAACAGCAAGCCACATACACAGGTTCTCTCCCCTAAGTAGAAGCTAAACACTGGATACGTATAGACACAAAGAAAGGCACAAGACATCAGGACCTACTTAAAGGTGGAAAGAGGAGGGTAAGGACAGGAAAACTACCTTTTGGGTTCTATGCTTATTACCTGGATGGTAAAATAATCTGTACATCAAACCCCTGTGACACATAATCTACCTATATAACAAACCTGCACATGTACCTCTGGACCTAAAAGTTAAAAACAAAAAAGGGAGTTCACAAATGACTTCCTGAGTAGAATTTTTAGAAGTCTTCTTCCTCCCCCACCCCAATAGCTCTAACACTTCAGATTTACAGATGATAAATCTTCAATACATATCAATAACTAAGATGGTCTTTGACAAAAATCTAAACTCTTCTTAAAATTCAACTCCGAGTAAACTTTCATTCTGTTTCTGTTTGCCTGCAAGTAGAAACTATGTGTTACTTGTTTTTTGTTCAATATAATACAATATTTGGCAAGTGGTAAGCATCTAATATGCAACAAAGCTTACTTCTTTCTTGCTACAAAAATAACAGCTTTATAAAACCCTAGAATTTTGAGGAAAAGCTGGAGAAATCACCCTAAACATACAAAACTGCAATGCTTACTGTGGGAAATGTGATGATAAACCACTCCCTGTGTTAGAAGAGAACACAACAACTTGCTTTGTCCATAATTTTATGTCTGATGTAATCCTGAAGTTGGAGGGTGTGATTTGTGATGAATGGACCTGAGTCAAGGACACGATTTCCTTGATGAATAGAGTTTACTGTTAGTCACAGAGGGAGTAAATACGTATGACTCAGTATCAAGACTTATCTTCAGGACTTTTAAGAACAAACTTCCCATAGCTACTCTTATTCAAACCAACTCTGTCCTCTTCACAGCTGAACCATGGCACAGGTATTAGGTATTCTCAAAACAGCTAATAAAGTTGATAGACGTGCTTGGCTGAAGATAATCTTAAAGGTTAAAAGTCATCATCCAAGTTCGTTTTCAACAGATATTGTACTTTGTTTTTCTTAGAAACCCCAAACACAGGAGTAGCCCTTCATGTTTTTGTTCTTCCCCAACACACACAATAGATGACATTTACAATCACAAATACTCTTGTCAGGTTATAGAATAAATAAGTGCATTCACTGTAACATCATTACTTTCTCCTCTGCTCAAGGCAACAAGTCAAAACTATTGTAAGACTAAGTGTAAATCCACCCTAATTTGTAATGTAGGGGTAAATTAATTACAAATTTTAATTCTTAGATGTAACAAATTACCTGCTAAACAACTGAGGACGATTCACTACTCTGAATTGTAGAGAGATGTCAAAATTACACTTTGAGGGGAAAAAGATGCTATTGGTTCAAGAGAACTTACATTTAAAAATCTTACCAAGGGATCCTATATTGAATTACAGCAAAGCCAGTTGTTAATCAATGGCTCACTTGTACTATTTGAATAAAATAATTATAGCATTGTTCTGCTGATTCCTTAAATTTTAAGAGACCCGTAATAGATTCCTAAAAATTACTACCCATCAGAGAGGACTGCTTCTTATTCTCACTTATGGGAATCCTGCCTTTGTTCCCTCATAAACACAGTAGCTACTAACAGTTAAAGAAATCTCTGCCAGCTGCACTGGCTCACGCCTATAATCCCATCACCTTGGGAGGCCGAGGCAGGGGGATCACAAGGTCAGGAGTTTGAGACTAGCCTGGCCAATATGGTGAAACCCCATCTCTACTAAAAACACAAAAAATAGCTGGGCATGGTGGTGCATGCCTGTAGTCCCAGCTGCTTAGGAGGCTGAGGCAGGAGAATCTCTTGAACCCAGGAGGTGGAGGTTACAGTGAGCCGAGATTATGCCACTGCACTCCAGCCTGGGTGACAGAGCGAGAATCCATCTCAAAAAAGAAAAAATATCTCTTAAAAATATAACTTAAAATATTAAATTTAAAATGTTAGTAGCATACTATTTTAAGACAGTATGATTAGTAACTACTTTGTTTTCAAACTTTTAAAAACAGGAAAACTGCACCTCCATCAACCTGATTAAACATGATTAGGTGACATTTTAAATAGAAGACCTAGGCCTTACAGATTTCCTACTGGAAGAAAAACTCACAAACAATAAAGAGAGATAAGGTTTACTGCAGCACTATTCACAAAAGACAAGATATGGAATCAACCCAGTGTCCAACAACAGATTAATTAATGAATAAAATGCGGTATACATACACAATACTATTTGGCCACAAAAAAGAATGAAATCCTGTCATTCACAGCAACACAGATGAAACTAGAAGACATTAAGTGAAAAGGGCCAAGGCAGAAAGTTAACCATCACATTCTCACTCATGTGCAGATGCTAAAATAAAGTTGATCTCAAAGAAACAAAAAGTAGAACAGAAGATTCTAGTGTTCTACAGCACTGTAGGATGATTATAGGTAACAATAACATATGGTTCTGAACAGTAAAAATGGGGATGTTGACTGTTTCCAACACAAAGAAATGATGTGTTTCAGATGATAGATATGCTAATTACCATGGCGTCATCATTACACATTGTATACATGTATCAAAATATCACACTGTATCCCATAAATATGTATAATTAATATGCATCAATTAAAAAAAACTTCAGAACACAACCAAAGTTGGCTGAAAAAAATAACTGAAAATTTTAAACTATATCGTCCATGGTAGCAAAGAGAATTTACCACTAAGAATTATGTGAGAAAGCTCTACACTCTTAATAGAGGTACAGTATGCATTCGTATTTTTTCTAGCTTAATTTATTTATGATAGTATGGTTGTCCTTCCCAACTGTTAAGTCCCAGTGGGGTTGGTACAATCCTTTGTATGATGCCTAACAGATCAAAATGCTTAATGTTCCACGTTTTTGGCCTTAAAAACTCTTAATTTTCTTTGCTTTCTATATGTTTTTCTTATTAGTATTTTTAGATTTCTCATGGTGAATATTATTAGAAGAAAGTTTGTGGAAATACTACAAAGAAAAATACTCAATTCTTTCTAAACATAGCTTTTACAATATTGGTACAGAAACTGAAGAGTCTTTAAAAACTCTACTTTATTCCTCAGGAAATGCCCTTTTAAAGCATCTGGGAAAGAAGCCTAGTTTCAGTTAACAACATAAAAGAATGGACAAACTCTAACACTGTTTATTTCATGTATGTGATATATGAATTTATTTAATAACCAAAAAAGGGAAAAATTGTTATTTAGTAAGTTTTGGGGTAATAAAACAGAAGTTCACAGAACAAAAAAAGGAGAGAGAAAGAGAGAAATAGGAATGCTTTAATGAGTCCCATACCCTTGACAAAAAATTGTATCATTGTTCCATAGCTGGGCGCAGTGGCTCACCCACATAATCCCAGCACTTTGGGAGGCTGAGGCAGGCAGATAACCTCAGGTCAGGAGTTGGAAATCAGCCTGGCTAACGTGGTGAAACCCCACCTCTACTAAAAATACAAAAATTAGCTGGGTATGGTGGTGCGTACCTGTAATCCCAGCTACTTAGGAAGCTGAGGCAGGATAATCGCTTGAATCTGGGAGGAGGAGGTTGCAGTGAGCCAAGATCACGCCACTGCACTCCAGCCTGGGCAACAGAGCAAGGCTCTGCCTTAAAAAAAAAAATTGTTTTTGTTCCTCCAGCTAGTCTTTTAATACTTTACATGCTTTCTAACCTAAGATGAACAGATTACTGAATTTAGTTAAACTATACATATATGTATATATGCACTAATGAGCTGTATCTTTTTCCCATGAAAACTGAGAAACCAAACAGTATTTAAAAACTAACAACACTGAATACAGGCAATTTCTCTCCACATATTTTATAGGATTTAGGGTATCACATATTCTCATCAAATTGTTTGAAACATTAATAATTTTTCCTATTATTAATAACAGTGAGCTTGGTTTGAGAGATCAATCTTCCTGTTGAAAACAACTGAGTAATTTGTATAAAGTATTTTAAAACATCTTTTCAAAAAGAACTAAAAAATACAAGATAGTAAGGAATTACCAAGTAAAAATTAAAAAGAGAATTCAACAAATAACACTGGGAAAATAAATATCCAGGTGCAAAAGAATGAAGTTGGATCCTCGGCTTACCACATACACAAAAATTATCTCAAAATGGATCAAATACCTAAACATTAGAGCTACAAGTATAAAAACTCTTAGAAGAAAAACATACGGGGAAAGTTCTGTCACATTTGATTTGGCAGTGATTACTTAGATATGATATCAAAAGCATAAGCAGCAAAGAAAAAAACAGATAAAACTGGACTACATCAAAACTAAAAACACTATCAATAGCGTAAAAAGGCAACGCGCCAAACTGGAAAAAAATATTTGCAAATCACATATCTGACAATGGACTAATATGGAGAATATATAAAGGACTCCTAAAATTCAACAACAAAAAACAGGCAAATTCAAAAATGGGAAGAGAATTTGAACAGATGTTTTTCCAAAGACGGTATGAAATAGCCAACAGGCATATGAAAAGATGTTCAACATCATTAGAAAAACACAAATCAAAACCAAAATAAGACACCAGTACTTCATACCCATTAGAACGACAATTAAAAACAAAAAACAGAATTTTAGAATCTGAATATAATTTGACTTTTTCAAATTATTTCCATGAGGGTTGATGGGTTAAAGAAGATTCCTAAAATTTGAGAGACAAAATACATGGAAGACCTGAGAACCTTCCACACACACAAAAAAAATAAATAACAAATGCTGGCTAGGAGAAACTGTAATCCTTATGGCATTACTGGTAAGGATATAATATGGTGCAGCTGCTGTGGAAAATATGGCAGTTCCTCAAAAAATTGAACATAGAATTACCCTATGTTCCACCAATTCCATTTCTAAGTCAAAGAAAAAATCAAAAGGAAAATTTAAAATTATCTTGAGGGCTGGACACGGCAGCTCACACCTGCAATCCCAGCATTTTGGGAGGCCAAGGCAGGCGGATCACTTGAAGTCAGGGGTTCAAGACCAGCCTGGCCAACATGGTGAAACCCCGTCTCCACTAAAAATACAAAAAAAAAAAAATTAGCTGGGCGTGGTGGTGGGCGCCCGTAATCCCAGCTACTCGGGAGGCTGAGGCAGGAGAATTGCTTGAAGCCAGGAGGTGGAGGTTGTAGTGAGCCGAGATCACGCCACTGCACTCCATCCTGGGCAACAGAGCAAAACTCAATTTCAAAAAAAAAAAAAAAAAAAAAAGCTAAATTTTATGTTATGTATATTTCACCACAATTTTAAAAAAAAAAAGTACAAGGAGAAGGAAAACTCAGCACACATTTCCTCTAAAGTGTCTTTATCGGTCTTGGAAAACTAGAACCTATGTTTTAACTGATTCTCAGGGTGACCAAGACACAAATAAAGCTGAGGGCCACAAAACAAGGGCCATCTAATCTGAGATCTCCTCACGATAAGCTGGAATCCTAAAGGGCATATCCTCACAGTGAGAATGACATGAACTAGATTATGGTCTAAGGTCACACTGCTTTTCTCAAACTTCAAACTTGGGTCTGTAATTGTCCTGGACCAGAATACTCCCAAGTATCAGTCAGACACAAGTGCACACTAAGTACCTACCTTGTGGACTTAAAATTACTCTTATAAATAGCTCTTCAAACGCAATATCCAGGCTCCAGTCAAGGATGGTGAAGTATGCAAGAAATGTAGGAATAAGCAGCAGTAGAAAGGAAAAGGGGTCAGGAAAGAACCTTAGAAAGTGGATTATCAGATGCAGACTCTTATGTGTTTTCTGTGATAGAAGAAATAAGATGACAAGTTGGAAACATTTAGCAGAGAACTAAAGATTATAAACAGTAACAGATGTTTTTAAAAAAAGAGACTCTAGAACTAAAAATAAAATATACTAACTCCAATTAAGAACCGAATGGAGAGGTTTAACAGACTGGATTCACCTTCAGAGATAATAATGGAAAGACAAAAGACAAGTCTAGAGATATGCTGGAAGTAGTTTGAATCAGCTTGCAAGAACCAATTATGTGTAGCTCCTCCTAATTCTGCATCAGTAAAGTCAAGCAGGTTGCCTGAGACTACCCTTGATGAGGATATTTATACTATGGAAATCAACAAATGCTACAAATCAGGGCTTCTTTTTCACTGGGGAACCATTTTACCAGCACAGCCTTAAAAGTTACTGTACAGGCCGGGTGCGGTGGCTCACGCCTGTAATCCCAGCACTTTGGGAGGCCGAGGCGGGTGGATCACGAGGTCAACAGATCGAGACTATCCTGGTCAACATAGTGAAACCCCATCTCTACTAAAAATACAAAAAATCAGCTGGGCATGGTGGCGCATGCCTGTAATCCCAGCTACTCAGGAGGCTGAGGCAGGAGAATTGCCTGAGCCCAGGAGGCGGAGGTTGCGGTGAGCCGAGATCGCACCATTGCACTCCAGCCTGGGCAACAAGAGCGAAACTCCATCTCAAAAAAAAAAAAAAGTTACTGTACAGAATTCGGGACAGGGAGACCAAAAAAAAAAAAAAAAGGTAAGTAGGGAAGACAGTATAAGAAATGCAAAGGGTATAAAAGAGGGCCCAACACATATGTAACTAAAGGTTCAAAGTGAACAGAGAAAAGAAATACTTTATCCGTTAATGGTTGAGCTTTTGCCAGAACTAATTACCAAATCAGATTTAAGAAGCCAAATGAAGCACTGGAAGGATAAATAAAAAGAAACGTGCAATGAAGAAACACTGACTTCTGCATCACTAGAGTAGCCTATTTGTTTTTAAATCTATGAGTTTTTCCCTTTATCTCCAAAGTTATAAATGCTACCAGAATTGAGACAGATGGAGATTTCTTTTCATTAATTTTGCCTACAATGAAGCCTACACTTTGGAACTACAGCTTCAGAACTTTTTAGCTCAAGTGGCTGGCCATGGTGGCTCACGCCTGTAATCCCAGCACTGTGAGAGGCCAAGGCAGGCGAATCACTTGAGCCCAGGAGTTCGTGACCAGCCTGGACAACATGGCGAAACCCCGTATCTACAAAAAATACACAATTAGCCAAGTGATAGCATGCACCTGTAGTTGCAGCTACTCGGGAGGCTGAGATGGGAGGATGGCTTAAGCCCAGGAGGCAGAGGCTATAGTGAGCCAAGACTGCGCCACTGCACTCCAGCCTGGGTGATATGGTGAGACCCTGTCTCTAGGAAAAAAACAAAAAACAACAAAAAAAGAACTTTTCAGCTCAAGAAAGTTTTCTTCTGGTTTTACACTTTGCTTCTGTACCATATATTCTGGTTTCTACATTAGGAACTTATTCGTCAGTTTGATACTTCTCTGTCTTTAGTATCTGTCACTTTCACTCTCATCATTTCCATCATTATTTTCTCCTCCTAAAAAATCTCAGATAAATACTATAGGATTGACCCATTCATTGTATACAGAATTGACTCCATTTTCTGCAGCATCACCTCTGCTATGTTTAACTGTCATTACAGATTTTTATTCTGCTATTGCATTTTCAGATTGTTTTCATTTGGTCATCTTTATTCCATCTCCTTTTAAAATCTCATTCTGACTTTTTGTTATGACTTTATGTTCTGGTTTCCTAGAGATCATATATTTTGCTCTGTTACTAAGAAAATCTGACACTTCTCATAAATATCTTTTGTCTACCACAATAAATCATGTTCAATATGATTTTTAAGACTTTCTTATCTTTGGGGTAATGGTTCCCTTCTTTTATGCAGATATTGTTCATGCAGATTTCTTTCATAGTGCCCATGAAAATTATCCTTGCAAAAATAAAATACAATTTTTAATGTCAGGGCATGCAGATTGCCCTTGATTCCTATCACTATCAATTTGGACGGTGAAAATTTGTTCACATTTAATTTGGTTAGGTTTTAAATCTACAGGCTGATATACACAGGCCATGGCTGAATTTATAGTACTAAGCAGGCAGTACAACCATGTTGGGCTGATTTAAAATCTATTATTCCTTTCTTCTCATATTATGAGAATTCATTCCTACATCAACAGGACCATTCTATAGTTTATCTTTTAACAGAAAATAAATGAATACTCTGAAACCCCAAAAGCACACTTCTTTTAAGGTTCTTCTTAACACATTTACTGCTACATCACATCCCTGGAATGTAATATCCTAATACCTTCCTTTCATTCTCTTCCATCTTGCACACTGGAAATTTAGTCTCTTAGTAGATATGCAAAAACTAGTGTGGAACATGCAGGTTTGGAGGAGGTGGGATTGAGAGAGAGAAAGAAATCTCTGAGGAGGTTAATAGGCTTTTAATATGTCACAATATACATAATATGAACAAAATAGTACAAGTCCTCATAGTCACTCATGGTAACCTGTGTCTCCAAGGTGTGAACAAACAACAGGAATGGATCAAAGCCTCTTCCTACCCACTTCCCAACTTAATCTCCTATTTTAGAAGTCAAAGCATAAACAGATCACTAAGACTTTCTTAGTCTACTCCAATGTAGTAAGTAGTTAGTGGAAACAACTCTAAAATTGAGTAATTATTGATAGCTACTTTTCTCAATTCCATTATGGAACTATACACATATTTTAATGAGAAACTGGAAGAAGGCATATCACACATGGCTAGCCTAAAGTAAATATTTTTCAATAGGCGCATTTTTTAAACAAAGAAGTTGATATTAATCTCCTATGTTTGAAAACAGTCAACTAAAATGTCATGGTGACAGGTACTATTACAGAAAGTGAAAGAAATCTTTCACAACAGAAAGATGAAGATCAAGATAATTATTGTAAGCATCTGAAAAGTATAAATGTCTATGATAATGATTTTATATGTAATGATATAAACACTGATATCTTCTCCACATCACTTAAAAGTTTGAAAGTGACATTTTAGGATGATTTTTTTTAAGTTCTCTAACTACTCTATCCAGTAACCACAGAATTTGTCATTCTAGATCATGATCAAGGAAACAATATAAATGCATTTCAAAGGCATTTAATTCATAGATAGCTATAAACAGGCAAGCAAGGAAAGCTAGAGTTATTTTGAGGAGACAGCCTACCCATATGAGCTGATATTGTTTGCTTTTGGGTTTTTTTTTTTTTTGAGACGAGTCTTGCCTCTGTCACCCAGACTGGAGTGCAATGGCACAATCTCAGCTCACTGCAACCTCTATCTCCCAGGTTCTAGTGATTCTCGTGCCTCAGCTTCCCGAGTAGCTAGGATTACAGGTGCCTACCACCATGCCTGGCTAATTTTTGTATTTTTAGTAGAGATGGGGTTTCATCATGTTGGCCAGGCTGGTCTCAAATTTCTGACCTCAAGTATTCTGCCCACCCCGGCCTCCAAAAATGCTGGGATTACAGGCGTGAGCCACTGTGCCTGGCCACAAGCTGATATTCTCGAGAACAATTATCAGAATCTCAACTTCTCAAATGTGGAAAAGAACTTCAAATTAAGAAAAGTCGTATAATTTTTTTTTCCTTTTTACATTTCATAATGATCATTTCATTAGTAAATCTGAGTTCACTATTTCTAACATAACTATGCTCCCAAAAACATTTAGTAGTCTAATGAATCTTAGAAAGTAGTTCAAATTTAGTGAACCTGTACTGTGTGCTAGGTACTGTTTCAAGTGCTTTAAATCCATTAACTCATTTCTCTGAGGGAGTACTATTATTATCCCCATCTTAAAGATTGGAAACTAGGGA